CCCCAAAACCCCAAAACCCCAAAACCCCAAAACCCCAATATTAAAAGGATTGCTGAATATTTAAATTACAATAAATAAGTTACAAATGATGGCATGAGTTTCAGAAGCTCCTGAAAATGATTTGAGACCTTCAGATGGCTACGATTTTCAGTTTTTAAACAAAATACACAACGATATGGAAAGCCTCAGTCCAACTGTGATATTCCTACTAGGCTTTAATTACCACAAGCTTCATGAACAATATCAAAATGAAATATTTCTCGATCTTGCAAAGATTATTGAGAACGGTGTTGAAACTCATAGCTTGAGCACTTTCAACAAAGACCAAATCTTCAGAGAGTTGTACCAACAGAACACCCTCAGCCAGGTCCTAAGACTCAAATGGTTCAAGAATCAACAAGAAGCTTTCGATAAACGGTGTGAAGCCTTATCCCATACAAAGGAGGGTTCTCTTTCAGAGAGGGAAGTTCCTGAAATAATTAAGAAGTTCATGATACCTAGCTTTGAGCAACAAAGTAGAGATTCTCAAAATCAGCCTGATATAATTCAAGATCGGTGCTCAAAAGATAAAGCAAACCATGAAATGCTCGGAAGTCATCAAGGTAAGTCTGAGATAGTACTGTTTGACAATTTAATTGGAGAATATTTCATCACCAAATATGATAAAATCCTTCCCAAAATTACTAAGAAATGAGTTATTGTGGCTTCGTCCCTTTTCTACATCCAACCTCCCTTTGAAATATCTTGTGAAGGAGTTAAGGCCCTTCATGATGGACGCGAAAAGATTCGTATTCAGAAATCATTCTACTATAGATAATGAGGAAAGTGACTCGGACTCATCATTAATCCAATTCGAACAATCTCCAGAGGTAAGTTACAGTATCTATTAAACATCCTTCGCAGCTTGAAATGCTATTTTGGTGCATAAAATCAACGCAGTATAAGTCAATGTAGTTATTCTACATTAAGCTTAGTAAATCAAGTTAAGTTTATTGCCCTGAAGTAGATCAAACTTAGAGATTCTGCAGTTCCCCTCTCATACAGTAAGTATAGGATATTAAAGACAGTGAGGGCCAAAATCAGGCGAGAAACAATCTTAATCCAGAGGCTTCACCCAAGTATGCTATAATCTTTAGTAAACTATAGCCAACCCTCCACAGGAATTGCTCTTCCAGAATCTGCAAATATGCCCAACAATAAAACTGCAGAATCAAAGAGCCATCCGAGCCAAGAATTAACAAAAATTAGCTCTCGTCACCAAGAAAGTTGTGATAGGAGTCTCAACATGCGAGAGGAGGCAGGATTGGAATTGATACAGATGAGACTCAAGAAATATCAGCACCTTGACTTGCCTAAATACAGATCTTCAATTAAAAAGGTAGAGTACTTTCATAAAGATTCCTTTATGAAATCAATTACTGAACTTTGATAGAACAGAGCAAACCAAAGCCAAGAGATAGAATTTAGTCATACTGGGAATACTGTGAGACTTGCTCATAAATTTATTCATTAGTGTATAAACCTAGATAATTTTTTAGTGGATAGAGCTTCTCTGAAGTTTGGAAATCATTAAATTCGAAGAAACTACTTGAAATTAGCCGCTATATTAACAGATCGTCTATTTAAAATGATACTTATCCAGCACAACTCCACCAACCTCTCTAGATTATTACATGGGCAGGACTTCCCCAGAGATGCCTCAAACTTTGTGAATTTTAGAAATTCTAAAGCCAGGATGACAAAATTCTACTAAACATCAAAGACTTAATATATTATTAGCGGTAGAACGTCTCCTGGAGTTCATAAGCAATAGTTGAAATAGCTCCAGATATTTCCATTCTTTGACAACTAAAAGATGCCATCTAAGCTGTATTTATTCACTTTCGGAATAAGACTTGAAAAATCTTGCTACTCCAAATTCTATGATTTTGATTCCATAATTAGAACTCCAAATGTGTTGACCTAATATTTCAAGGGCTTTATGCTCTTTTCACAACATCTGGTTTGCCAGCCCACTCTAAGAAATGATTAATTTATATTTATAGCCCCAGAGTAAAGAAGAATCTAAACAGAATGAACAGGTAATTAGAGCTTTCTTCTTCAAAAGGGAGGAACAAATGTCACACCCTGCTGAAAATCCTGAACATATTGAAGCTCATGAAATCTCAGACAGCAATTTCATTGGCTCAGAAGTAGATCCTCCTCTTCAAGTTAATAGCCAAGAACATCAGAACTTAGCTATAGAGCAAATAAGCTATAAGAGAGTGAAGACTGGAGAGGAACAAGAAGCCCAAATTGGACTTCAGCTCCAAAAGATAGAACTTGAGCAAACACTTTTGAGGCAACCTCCTCTTTCTGAAGATTCAAATTATTATAAAAATGATGCACCAATGAAATCTTACCAACAGCTATCCAACGAAAATGATCGGGACTATCTACCTTCGTTCTGGCTAAAGTTTGCTAAAAACAGAGAAATGACGGAACAACTCAGGTTTGAAGAACAAGATAAAATGCAAGCGAAACTTTGAGGTAACCTGAATATTTCTACCGAATTTAGCCCTATTTGTATGATTTAATAAAGTTTCAAATTTGATCCTTCTCATTCAAACTCTTTCGCTGTTAGACTTCTTCTGGATAATTTAACTCTCTAATACTGGAGAAAATTAAAATATGACTATAACTTTGAAAGTAACTTGTTGTTTCCACTCTACAATAAGAGCATAATGCCATAAAAATATTCCAGTAATGAGACTTTGCCGCACAGGAATATAGCCCACCAATGATAAAAATTAGTTCCTATCTTTTGAGCCGATTATTACTCATAACAAAGTACAAGCGCTGAGCACAAATATTAACACATTCTTTATATTTCATCACAACTTCTAATATTTTCCATTCAAAATTCCTAAATTACCCAAAATGCACTTCTCTTCTGACTAAATGTACACCCAGAGAATCTAGGAATGAAGAAACATGGCAAGAATTTGAGTTAAATTCCTACTACATAAAATGATTTACTTCTAAATTTCCTTGCTAAAGCTTCGACTCTGACCTGAACTTAACCAAACAAAATACAATTTTTATTAAAAAATCTAAGGCCAAAGTCCTAACTACGCTAACTCTTCACAAAACCCAATTTAGAATCCCCTCAAGCACACTCCTATTTCAGAAAAATCCACCTGAAACCTTCAAAAATTTCTTGCGTAGCCCCGGTCTCACTCAAAGCCGATGCCAAACCTCTCACTGAAGAATCTAAGACTCCTCCACATTTGGCTCCTTCTACCCCACCCACTTGCTCCCTCTGTAAAACCCCACACAAAACCTCCCCCTACAGCCTCTCATGCAGGCACAAATTCCACCTCTCCTGCTTAGAGAGCAACTTTAAGTTCCAAGCTGACTGTAAGAGTGGGCTTATTGTGTGACCAGAGCCGATGTGTTTTAGAGAGGTTAGGGAGAGTGACTGTAGAGAGGTTTTGAAGAAGGGGGAGGTGGGAATGAATGATGTGAGGGAGGAGGAGGGGGGATGGAAGTAAGGTTGCAGGTGTTAAGAGATGGGAGAGGGGAATAGGGTTTAAAGGAACAGCCCAAAGAAATAATTTGTGGAAAGTTTCAATGAAATATAACTGTCACGGGGTTTTGGGGTTTTGGGGTTTTGGGG